CTTAACATACATTCTCTGTTTTAGGAATAAAATGGACCTATAATCGAACTATTATCTAGTGCTATATTTTGTCGTCTTTTTAATATATATAAATTAATTTTTACGAAAGTTAAAAGTAAATTATTTAATTTGAAAGGGCTCATTTCATTTATCAAAAGTTATAGAGAAACTGGATTTGAATTGATCATGGTTAGTATTAAAGAGATTGTTATGCTTGCAAAAAAAAATTATATTCAAGGGCCTAATTACAATTTGTCGTCGAGGGCCTCGGACTGACCCTGTCGAGGCCAAGAAGTTACAAGGACATAGCTCGAGTAGCAAACAAAGTAGGGTTTGAAGTGATTAAGGAAAAGGAACCCATGGTATGCTAGGCTGAAGATGGGGAGGATTGCGAATCGGAGTAACCACATTTTAGTCAAAGTGCTTGTGTGGCAGAGGATTGCGCCAAAGCACGAGATGCTGTTTGTGACTGCAGATTACCTGACTAGAGGCAGTGATTCTGGGATTTTCACCCCTATGCATGTGATTCTCTGAAGGAAGCCTGAATGCAAGTCCGGTTCAATTTCAGATTAAGAGATTAATGTAATGCGTAAGAATTGATCGACGATTGTAGATGTCAATTTCGTGCATGCTTCATTGTTGCTTATTGGATTTACTTAACAGCTTTATCTTTTTCAGCTTAATAAGCGTGCTCTCATAGAAAAATGAGATTCTCCTATTCGAAAGTAAATTGAACCGTCTTAGTAGTTTTCTGGAAGAGAAAAATTACTGAGGAAGTTGACAATGTGCTCTAACTTAGTGCTTGTAAGGATTTTGATAATTGATTTTTTTATTGTTTGAGATAAAGTGGGTGCTATCCGTGAGAGAAAAATTCAAAAATGACGACTGAAATAGTGAAATAACGGTAACAAAATTAATTTTAATTGGCTTAAAATTTGTACCAAACAAGCCGTTAGAAAGTTTCTCAAACTAACTTTTCTATTTTGTAAAAGATTTTCATCCTTTTTTCTATGTACTCTATCTTCCACTTGCTTCTTTGCTTTGACAAATGTTGCATTAACTTTTATCATCACAATTGTGTTAGGCCACTTAAGTCCTGTAGGGTGTACTTCTGCTTTATACATTTTTACATAAAGTGCCTCTTAGAAAATTAGAGAAAAGGGAAAAAACTACTTTTTTTGTAATTCTAACCACAATTTGTTTTGGTTATTAAATACAGAAGTGTCCAGCTTTTGAATTTAAAACTTGTTGGCTGAGTTGTAAGCCATTGTGGCATGTGGCAGTAGAATAGCTGTAATCGTCTTTACTTGATAAATTATTGATCGGACATCAGAGATGACTCATGTGAGGTCAGCTCGTGTTCCTTTATGCACTTAGGAGACACACGAAGACATCAAATATTGGCAAGGGAAAATTTGTCCCATAAGCAACCTTTTAATAACCAACTCAAGCATGGAACTCATTCCAGTGTAATATTCACACTTGTGGACTGATCTCCTTCCTGGTGTTGATCCAGGCATCACCCTTCCGGACCCTATTTCTATTATTGTCCTGACCTGTGTGTATAGAGTAATATTATTTAATATCCCAGGTGTCGAGCACCAATTTAGGTAACAACTGCATGACATTAAATTATAGATTCACTTAAATGCAATATCACGTGATTCATTTAAACCTATCGAGTGTGATTATTTAAATTGGTTAACAGCATGTATATTGTCACAAAGTTGGTGTAGTGCTACTTTTGAGGAGTTGAATAACATAATTTTTGTAGATCTCTATGCTCTTTCTTGTCCGACAATTCCACTCTAGCTTTCCAGCTTGTGTGTTGTTCAGTGCATCATAACATCACCCTACTTTTATTCCTTTCCCATTTTTTGTGAATTTTAGAGAGCATTATTTATCACATATCATCATTTCTATCATTATAATGTGATAAGTATCTCTAGCTTTGATGTTTTAAGGTTAGGATTAATGTAATGATTCTTATTTAGACTCTCACAAAGAGGGAGTCTAATGATAGTATTTTTTTTTTTGAATTTATTAATCGAGTTCTGATGATATCAGAATATGACAATACGTTCATGCCTATGTTTGTATCATGTATGTATCTGCTTAGATCTAGCTTTTGTATTGTGGAAACGATATATGTCTCGTGGCAAGTGCGTGAAAAATGTGCTGCTTGTTTTTCTCTCTAGTTAATGTTATTCGTCTCTTCGGTTCTATGTGTTATTATCAAAATATAATTGAATATTTTCATCTAAACCCAGTCTTCTACACCCCCATAAAGTGGGTCGGAGGATGTTGAATTGGCCTCTAGAGGCTGCCGTGAGAGTGGCGATGCAAGGTAATGGTGAAGTTTGGCCGGTCGACAAAATTGGGCAGTGTTTTTTAAATATTTTGCAATAAAGCTGGCACTAAAATCTCCAACATATGACAATCTAAACTGACCAGAGCTGAGAAAAGACAGCAGTTGAATTGCAGTTTTTGTTTGGCCCTCTTGGCTATTACCATCGTTAAAGTTTAATTATCTCTTGTTGCTAGATAAATTTCCCTTTTTTTTTTCGCGCCTGCATCTACCCTAATTATTGGTAATCCTGGGTAAATTCAATCTGCTGTTACTGAATTTTAATGAAAACCACCTGTCGACTAATTATTGGTAATCCTGGGTAAATTCAATCTGCTGTTACTGAATTTTAATGAAAACCACCTGTCGAAATGGTCCTTTGTCAAGGACAAAAACCTGAAAATAAGCTCATTTGTTTGCTAAGGTGATGAAACTCAACACAAATCAAAGCTGAAGCCCAACTATAGTAAGCGACAACCCGCACATGATGATTCTGTGTAGGAAATCATTTTGGAATGATTGATGGGACTTCTGTGATGAGTAAAATGTCTTGTCTTGTCTTATCAATTTAGGCAATAGAGTAGCTGCTCTTTGCAAGAGCATTAGATACATCATAAGCTAAGGAGGTCAAATTGATTTTTAGGAATGTAATTGTATGCTTTGGTCAAGGAGATGTGGCCAGGTTGATTTTCATCCAATGGACACCCATTTCATTTGTAATGCTATAAGTACCTCATTTATGTATCATTTGAAGATTAATGCAACTCAATACACTTGAATCTACTTTTTGTCTTCTCTTTTGTCAAATATACACCAAACTTTGTTTGAGTTTTATTTACTTTGCTTTCTTCAAATCATTAACGATTGTCTATTATTTAACAATCGATCTTAGAATATATTGTCAGATTCCAAACATATTTGTCTCGTGTTATAAAGTATTTCCCATGTCCTAACTCGAAGTATTTTCGATTAGCATTCTATCCATACTTATCAAATTTTGCTTACGTATACACTAGTGGGATCGATAACTATTGTCCACGTTACCCTAACGAAAAAACGAGGTCAACAAATACCAACTTAAAATCATTAACAGTTTCTTTCAAGCTCATAATAGAAATTAGTAGTTATATTGTCCATGAAAATAAATACGTCCATCTGCTCCATGTACTTATATATGTGGTGGTCAAGACCTAGACAAAGATTCATTCCATTAAAATACAAATACACTCAGCCTGGGCCTACCTTAACAATATTTAAGTTTTGAAAAAATATTTAGTTATATTTAAAAAGATTAATTAGTAAAAATAGATTATCTATATAGATGAGATTGAAATCATTGTTAATTTAAGATATTCACGTGGAAAATTGCAGCAACAGCCCCCAACTTTATTTACCTTATTACAACCCCATCCCCCCTCTTTTTATTTGGTAATATAGTCCATGTCACACATGTTTAGATACTAAGTTAATCCCTAAGACGACTTATGTGCATGGTCTATGAAGTTTGCACATGAGCCTAACTTGTAATGATTTTCAAGGCAAAACTAATAGTTCTACTATTGAATCACAAAAGTAGTAAACACACGAATGCTTTTCAAGAATCTAAACACTCATTTTACTTGAGTAAAACAGTAAGTTGTCTGCATTTTGTTTGAATAAAATAATGAATAGTGCTATTAATCAGTAGTTGTGATCGTCACTAGTTTAGGTGATAATGGATCACATATTTAAGATCAATATATTAGGGGGATCAACTATCATCTATAGAAGTGATGATTACGACTAATGTTGAATAACATTACTCTAAAATAATTACTCATACTTGTAATATTTATTTGTATGCATCAATTTCTTTGCTTTAGTTCTGGGAGGACGTCTTCAAGACTAAGAAATATTGCAATTGAGGTTTATTCATGTTTATCAACTTCTATGCTCAGTGGCAGATGCAGACATTTGAAATTAGTAGGGCATGATATTGCTGTTTGTTTTTCCATTTGAAGTGGTTGAATCGCTGGGGAAGGAAATCAAGTTAAGAACGATCGTCGGGAATGGAGCAAATGATTGGGTTTTGCTTCAAAGTTTGGAATTGGGAGCCCTCAAGCTGAGAGTTGGGATTGAATTGGGAGTAGATCGGTTTCTTGCATTGAATTTCAATTTGGTTTCTTTGGATTGAAATTTGGGTTTTGAAAGTTGGGGCGGTTTGTGATTCTTTCTATTGGAAACTGTAATAGTTTTTTCATTACTCCATTTTCGATTTTTATAATTAAAAAAAAAAACATTTTTAATTGGTGGGACACGTGACCCACCGAGACCAAATGTAGGTCCGCCATTGTCTATGCTTCAATTCTAGAAAGACAATCTTGAGATTAAGAAATATTATACGTTTATCGACTTCCATGCTTCAATTTTGGGTGGACCGTTTCACCCTTCAAACATACCACAAGTGAAGCTCACACGCAACAAAGACTGAATGGAATCATTTTGAAAAGTTGGGAAGGACGGTACCAAGAAAAAAATGAACTTGTCTAGTTTGTCACGAGACGGATCAATAGATGGGGGACTGTTACTGCAATTTTGCCTTTTCACAATTGTTAAATTGTATCCAACTTTCCTCTGATCCTGGCGTGCGACCCGACCGTGATTGACAGCGCGAATCTCGCACAAATCCACACATAAAAAGCCATTTCACCTTTCACTTTACTCTTACTTCGATATCTTTTATATCTATACTCTCTCTCTCTTCTATCGATGGAGTTCTTTACTCTCTTCTGCACTGCCTTTCTTTTAGCCGGCGGCTTATACTGGTTTGTTTGCATTCTTGGCTCGGCCGAGCAAAAGGGTAAACATGCCGTTCAGCTTTCCGGCGGCTCAATCGCCAAAGAAAACGTTCAAGATAATTACCAGCAGTACTGGTCGTTTTTCCGGAGACCCAAAGAAATCGAGAAGGCAGAAAAGGTACCTGCTTTCGTCGATACATTTTATAATCTGGTTACAGATATTTATGAATGGGGTTGGGGTCAGTCTTTTCATTTTTCTCCTTCCGTTCCTGGAAAATCGCATCGGGAGGCTACTCGTATACACGAGGAGATGGCGGTGGATCTGTTAAATGTGAAGCCTGGGGCTCGAATTCTTGATGCAGGTTGTGGGGTAGGTGGCCCGATGCGGGCTATTGCAGCCCACTCGGGGGCTAATGTAGTTGGGATTACCATAAATGAGTATCAGGTGAATCGGGCCCGGACACACAACAAGAAGGCCGGTCTTGATAAGCAATGTGAGGTGGTGTGTGGTAATTTCCTTCAGATGCCTTTTGCCGACAATAGTTTTGACGGGGCTTATTCAATTGAGGCAACGTGCCATGCCCCAAAATTGGAGGAAGTGTACAGTGAGATCTATAGGATTTTGAAACCTGGATGTTTATATGTGTCTTACGAATGGGTGACAACTGAATTGTACCGTGGAGATGACCCGGAGCAAGTGGAGGTCATCCAGGGGATTGAGAGAGGAGATGCCTTACCAGGGCTTAGGAGTTACAAGGACATTGCTCAAGTTGCAAAGACGGTTGGGTTTGAAGTGATTAAGGAAAAGGATTTGGCTAAACCACCGGCCAACCCGTGGTGGACGAGGCTGAAGATGGGGAGGATTGCCTATTGGAGGAACCACATTTTAGTCACAGTGCTTGCGTGGCTGGGGATTGCGCCAAAGGGTGTCGTGGATGTGCACGAGATGCTTTTCGTGACTGCAGATTACCTGACCAGAGGTGGTGAGACTGGGATTTTCACTCCTATGCATATGATTCTCTGCAGGAAGCCGGAAAGTAAGTCTGTTTCTAGTTCGACTTAGGAGGACGCAATGTAATGCATATGAATTGATCTACAATTATGGAGGTCAATTTCTTGATGTTTTATTTTTGTTATTTGTCTTTTACTTTGTTGTTTATCGGATTTAATTTAATAGCTTTATGCCGTTTTAGCTTGATTGCTTGCTTTCATAGAAAAAATTTCTTCATTTTGTTTAGTTTATTGTTAATGTTGTTGGCTTGAAGTAGATTTGGCCGTCTTATCTTGTGTTGTTCGAGGGAACTACAAAGAAATTTGACACTGCCCTCTAACTTATGTTAGAAAGTCTCTTGAAATTAGCTTGTTCTATTCTTTTTGTAATGGTAAAATTATCAATGATGGTCAATTTCGTAGTGCAATGCTGCACTGAATGTCAAGTGAATTGGAATGTCTTTTTTCTAATTCTTTTTGTTGTATGTGTCATTGCATTATACCACTTGTGTTCTTGATTTGAACTAAGCGTCGAATTATTTTATCGTTAGCATTAGTGTTATGCCACTGCAGTCTTGCTTGGACTACTTTATTGTAATTCTAACCACAATATTTAATTGTTATTATACATCCAAGTATCCAGTTTTTTAGCGTTAAAACTGTCTTGACTGGATTAGTTTATGGTTGATTCATAAACAATGTTGGCCTCGGACTGTAGAATAGCTGTAATCGTCTTTACTTGATAAATTATTGAGCGGACATGGCACATGATTTAGTTAGCTGTATGACTGTCCGTTACATTCGATGTCTCATGTGAGGTCTGTTTGTGGTCCTTCACTACTTCAGATGTTTGGGACATCTTTTTAAAATATGAAGGGACAAAATGTATCCAGATTCATTCATTTTTTAAGAATTTTGTCCTGTGTATCATATAATATGGATTATAGAAAAATGTGGAATTTAGTATTCAATAATGTAGTAGAGGCTACAATCTTGTAGCTAGGTTTTAGCACTCACATTTTCGACTAGAGGAGTGTTCTTTCTTTGATACCAGCAGAAAGTATGAGCGAAAAGGTTATACCTGAATGATTGGTAATTGAATCTGAAAATATGTTGCCTCCAACTGTAAGGTTAAATTGGTACATGATAGCCATCCCTGTAGTTTTTTTATTAAATTTGTCGATTTAGAAATGCATTTATAATATTATGTTAAAAAAATATGGTGTGTTCAAGCACGAAGCGCGGAACTCCTTTCTAGCTAGTGCATATCCACACGTGGTAGACATTTGATTCAGGTGGCAGGCTTGTGGTTTTAATTTATTTGGATATGAACTTCCTTCCTTTGATTAATATATTGATTGTGTTAGTTGGTGCATGTGCTATCCTTTTGAATAGTTGCTTTGCAGATCTCTAAGCTCTTATCTATTGTGATTTGTACCTATCCAGCTCGCGTTTCTCTATTGATTTATTTATTGAATCAGTATCATGTCTTCTTCCTTAACCAACATTTGGCAACATTAGAGAAATCCTCAACATCGTCTAGCATTTCTAGTTTTCATGTGCAAGTCTTTTGCTTTGGATGTTTTAATGCAAGGGTTGTTTAACTGGTAACATCTAACCTGGGGAGTGACAAAACTTTTATTAAAGCTTGTGAATTTGTAACGTGGATATGCTTAGATCTAGCCTTTCGATTCCGATTCCATGCAAAATTTAACTTGCATTTTTGTCTTTTTGGTGTGTCCACCATGTTTTTGCCTCAGATATTATATCCACCCCCTTTGGCCATTTGTGAAAGGATATGGTTTTGAATCTCCAGCTGAGTCGAGTCGAGTTGAGCCGATATAACTGTTAACCATCGATTAACATCACCGAGGTCTGAGTGTGTGTCGTAGGCGCAGCATAAAGTTTTGAATCTCTCCTTTTCAATGAACAGACTATCTGGATTCCTTTTTTATTTCTTTATTTGTAATTGCTTGCTATAATTACTTGATATTTAACACTTGCTATAATTACTTGATATTTAACACCCGAAAGGGAGAGTGAGCTTGAAATTCTTTTTCCTAGTTTGCATGGTCAAATAATATATCCGTCAACGCTATGTGCTATTTGAATATTTCGTATGCAATGTGTGTGGTTTTGCATATATGATGGAATTCAATGTGTGTTTAGTTTTATCTTATAGTTTTGTCTAATGTAGAATTTTGAATATAATTTATGCTATTTTTTTTATTTTTATTTTTTTATCTACAAATGCCCCTAATGTCAACAACACTAATTTGATGTATTAAGGAATTTATTATCTTAGCTATAAAAAAATTCTAGATACATGTTATCAAGTACATGTAAGATGGTTATAAGATATCTGTACATCTATAATATATTAAAATAATACATCAAGGAGAATCATTTTTAAATGATTTTAACCTCTACAATTCAATTATTTTAATAATACTTTATTTTTCGTTTTTCAAAAGTAATAAATACTACATAATTATTGTTATTTATAGAATTTGTGTTATTAATTTTCAATTAATTAACATTCACATTAATTTAGATTCAATGAATTTTCACTTAATGAATCTTGAATTATACAAATCTAGAGTTATTATAAATTTATTCATATTTATGTATTTAGAAATTTTAATGAGTATTTAAATTTATGTATTAATAATTAATTTTTATGTATCAATTGTAATATAAAAAGATTACTCATTTATAGTATTTCATCATTATAAAAAAAAAAAAATGAATTATAGAACTTGAGTTTTCAGAGTACAATTTGAATAATTTTCTTCTCTTAAATTTTTATGCTATATTTTATTTTCTTTAATTTGTCCGAAACTCTTTAAATCCTCCAACAAATTGATATGAAATATACTTTTAAGTATTTTAGAATAACATGCAACACACGTTCAATTTTGACTAGTAAATATAAAATGTGTATATGAGGTTTGAAAAAGTGGCGTGACAAGGTCAAATTTTAAATGTATATATAATCTATAATATATTAAACATCACATGAGAATCATTTTTTTGGACGATTGTAGCCATACTACAATTCAATTATGTTAATAATACCATACTTTTTGTATGATTCTAACTTTACTATACCTAAATTATTTCAATTATACATTTTCATTATTTAATATGCATTTAACATTTAATTATACATTTCACTATTTACATGCATGTATTATAATTGACATTTATTTTCCATGGCTTGCACTCTCTCATATTTAGATCAAAATGGTGCAAATTAATTCTTCTAGTTCACGCACACTTCATATGTTTTGAGGACTATTCAATTACTCTAGCAGTAAATAAATTATTCAAGTTAATGTACATTTATTTATTTTCAAGATTATTCATCATGGAATCAAAGGCTACAAGAGGTTTTGGCAACATTAGAGAAATCCTCAACATCGTCTAGCATTTCTAGTTTTCATGTGACAAGTCTTTTGCTTTGGATGTTTTAATGCAAGGGTTGTTTAACTGGTAACATCTAACCTGGGGAGTGACAAAACTTTTATTAAAGCTTGTGAATTTGTAACGTGGATATGCTTAGATCTAGCCTTTCGATTCCGATTCCATGCAAAATTTAACTTGCATTTTTGTCTTTTTGGTGTGTCCACCATGTTTTTGCCTCAGATATTATATCCACCCCCTTTGGCCATTTGTGAAAGGATATGGTTTTGAATCTCCAGCTGAGTCGAGTCGAGTTGAGCCGATATAACTGTTAACCATCGATTAACATCACCGAGGTCTGAGTGTGTGTCGTAGGCGCAGCATAAAGTTTTGAATCTCTCCTTTTCAATGAACAGACTATCTGGATTCCTTTTTTATTTCTTTATTTGTAATTGCTTGCTATAATTACTTGATATTTAACACTTGCTATAATTACTTGATATTTAACACCCGAAAGGGAGAGTGAGCTTGAAATTCTTTTTCCTAGTTTGCATGGTCAAATAATATATCCGTCAACGCTATGTGCTATTTGAATATTTCGTATACAATGTGTGTGGTTTTGCATATGATGGAATTCAATGTGTGTTTAGTTTTATCTTATAGTTTTGTCTAATGTAGAATTTTGAATATAATTTATGCTATTTTTTTTATTTTTATTTTTTTATCTACAAATGCCCCTAATGTCAACAACACTAATTTGATGTATTAAGGAATTTATTATCTTAGCTATAAAAAAATTCTAGATACATGTTATCAAGTACATGTAAGATGGTTATAAGATATCTGTACATCTATAATATATTAAAATAATACATCAAGGAGAATCATTTTTAAATGATTTTAACCTCTACAATTCAATTATTTTAATAATACTTTATTTTTCGTTTTTCAAAAGTAATAAATACTACATAATTATTGTTATTTATAGAATTTGTGTTATTAATTTTCAATTAATTAACATTCACATTAATTTAGATTCAATGAATTTTCACTTAATGAATCTTGAATTATACAAATCTAGAGTTATTATAAATTTATTCATATTTATGTATTTAGAAATTTTAATGAGTATTTAAATTTATGTATTAATAATTAATTTTTATGTATCAATTGTAATATAAAAAGATTACTCATTTATAGTATTTCATCATTATAAAAAAAAAAAAATGAATTATAGAACTTGAGTTTTCAGAGTACAATTTGAATAATTTTCTTCTCTTAAATTTTTATGCTATATTTTATTTTCTTTAATTTGTCCGAAACTCTTTAAATCCTCCAACAAATTGATATGAAATATACTTTTAAGTATTTTAGAATAACATGCAACACACGTTCAATTTTGACTAGTAAATATAAAATGTGTATATGAGGTTTGAAAAAGTGGCGTGACAAGGTCAAATTTTAAATGTATATATAATCTATAATATATTAAACATCACATGAGAATCATTTTTTTGGACGATTGTAGCCATACTACAATTCAATTATGTTAATAATACCATACTTTTTGTATGATTCTAACTTTACTATACCTAAATTATTTCAATTATACATTTTCATTATTTAATATGCATTTAACATTTAATTATACATTTCACTATTTACATGCATGTATTATAATTGACATTTATTTTCCATGGCTTGCACTCTCTCATATTTAGATCAAAATGGTGCAAATTAATTCTTCTAGTTCACGCACACTTCATATGTTTTGAGGACTATTCAATTACTCTAGCAGTAAATAAATTATTCAAGTTAATGTACATTTATTTATTTTCAAGATTATTCATCATGGAATCAAAGGCTACAAGAGGTTTATCGGCTATGAAAATGAATGGTCCATTAGAGTGAAGGTAGTCCAAAAGGGTTGGTCGAATCTTATTTCAATAATACTAAACAATATGATATTTAAAGGCTTATCCTAATTGACAATGAGCTATTACGCCTACTACGATAATTATTTATTTTGTAATTACATTATTTTATTATAAAAAAAAAATCCTTAGCGTATGCTTGGCCCCTACTTTTTGAAAAATTCATTTTAAACCACACATCCTTCCATAAAATAATTTTACATGTAAATTAAAATCTTTTTCTTTTTTCTTAATCGTACATTTTTCCAAAAAAAAATATTTCAAAATATATTTTCTTACTAAAAAGGGCTCCAATAGGGGCCTAGTCTTAATATTCAATTATTAATATAATTTTTTCTTTGTTCATCGCCTTCAAACTTGAGGTAAAAACAATTCGTGAATTTTTTATTTATTTATTTTTTGTATGAATGCATGCGGAGATCAAATCTCTATTAAATGCCGAAAGTCATATGCCTTGATGCATACGCCTCAGCAAGTCATGGCTTTAACCTTGACAAATGACACTGAAAATATAAGGTTTAGGCCTTAGGGTGCTTAATGAAGGCATTTAGGTGAGACGGGCCTTAAGGCTTAAGCTTAAAACGCTTTGTAAAACAATGGGTACTTCATATTTTCTCCATTTTATGTTTTATCCCATGATGCTCGTGAAGATTAATAGTCAGCAGCAATCATTCCATGATCCGCAAACTGTAAAATATGCAATAAAACAAGTACTTTCCATTGAAATATAGAACTAAAGTATGTGTTTCCCATGGTTTCAATTATTAATTTAATTTATTTTTTTCACAAACAGTTATATGTTACATTTTCAAGAGGAATTTCTATGATAACTACAGAAGTTTTAGTTAACTCGGATACTCCTAATCGTTCAAAAAATATAGTATACAAAGAATTTGTTATTGAATAAAAGTTAATTTCATATAAACAACTTTTTTAACTATTTTTTATATTTTTGCATTTTTAAATATTATTTTTACGGCCCTTTGTTTAATTATTCTAAGACCGTTAATAATTTTTCATTTCATCTAATTAACTTATTTAACCTTTAAAATTGGAAAAAGGGTGTGCATCTTTTGGCACCGATGTGCGCATTGACCGCGTCTTTTGACGTTAGATTGATCTCCCTTTTCAATGCTTTCTTCTAGGTCGGCCTATGCCCGGCCTTTTTCACCTTTTATAGCACTAAATATCAATAGAAATATAAAATTACACATGGATTGAGTAAGATTTTTATATTAATAAAATCACGTAGCCATGGTCACCTAAGTAAACTGTATTTTACATTGATAAATAATAAAATAATATGTGATCATATAAAATTTGATGTACATGTAACAATGTTCATTAACTGATCACATATTATTTATCAGTCAAAATCACAATTAATTGATCATGGGCACTCTTCATCTCACCTGCATCTTACTCACACATCTCCACCACCGTCGACACCATACAAATCATCGCCATCACCAACAATCCTTCAATCGCTTAGCGCATCTAGTGTCATCACCAGCAAACCTAAATCTGAATATCTCAAAACATCCATCAATGGTAAGTCTTGAATCGGATGGTTCACAGTCACTTACGACACGCAACCCAAAGCCATTGCCTCAATTGTCCACACTATGTCGTAGTCGTAAAAAAGTGAGCAAATTTTTTACTCTATTTTTCCATCCAATTATAAATAACCCAGAAACGACGACACTAAGGCATTCTCCGATAAGGCAAAGATGATGCGCTAGAGTTCAAGAGTGGTGGAAGTGGTGGTACGACGGACAACGAGTGAAGGTGCAAAGGATTTTTGAGACGGGGAGATGGGCTTCGATGGCAGGGTCGAAAGATAATTAAACTACTTGTACAAAGTAATTTGACAAAAATGGTCGACAAAGTGTGTGTTGAAAAAATCAAAGCCAATGGATTTTGTTGCTTTCAAAAACTATTTTTAAATTGAATGATATTGATTTTGCCAACAACCACTTTATCAACCTTTTTTGTAAACCTACTTTGTAAGAATAGCATCGCTCATCGAAAAATCTATTTTTAGGGAAGGATGAATTGGAGACATGAGGTTGTGGTGTGGAGTGGGTGTGGCGATGGCTGGGGTATATTAATATACCTGATTTTTAACAAAAATTAAAAATTATTACGACCTGATTTTTTAACTTGAAACTTGAATACTTGATTTGCATGGATTTATGTAATTTTCTTGTTATAGATTTTCAAAGCATTTATCATGGATTCAAATCTCGCTTTAAAATTGCAGTGAGGCACAGATAAAGATTTTATTGGAACCATCTAGACAAAACTAAGACAACAGACGTAGCCTAAAGACATATCGTGCCTGAAATGCTAAGAAAAAAACAGTTGGGATTAAAAATGCTAATTCAGTCAAAAGTTAGGGATGATGCATGCAATTTAGTAGAATCTTATTTCACTTGAGCTCAATTTTAGCACAGATCTCACAATTACACAGTGAGTGCTCATGAAATTTTGAAGTCGAGATGAAGCCCTCGTCTGTTCTGTACACTCGCAAAATCGTCTCGATTTCCGAAGTCAACCTGTCTGCTGGTGATTGAGAAAATGGCCTTATTTATTAGTTTTCACGTCCATATCAAACCTATAACTCACCATTATGTCTCGCCGAAAGCTTCATACACAATTCAAAACCATGAACCCATAATCAAGAACCAAAATTTGAAGTCAGCTACCAGTGTGAAAAGAAGACGAGCAAAACGAATCAATACATTAGTTGAGAACGGGAATATCTCGTCGACAAGAAGGCTGTTATCTTATGTGGAGTCGGGGTGTTTAGAAGATGCGCTCCATGTGTTTGAGAATATGGGTGACTCAAGTACTTTCATATGGAACGTGATAATAAGGGGACTGGCCAATAACGGGTTCTTTCAAGAAGCTATTTATTATTATCACCGTATGCAGTTTGAAGACGTAGAAGCCGATTGTTTTACTTTTCCATCTGTAGTCAAGGCGTGTACTGCTGCTTTTGCCGCGGTGGAGGGACAAAAAGTTCACTCGAGGATAATTAAGCTTGGTTTGGACAGTGATATTTACATCTGCAATACTCTTATATTGATGTATGCAAAAGTCGGATGTGTAAAGGATTCTGATGAAATATTTGAAGGTATGCCTGTAAAGGATTTAGTTTCTTGGAATTCTATGATCAGTGGGTATGTTTCAGCTGGCGATGGTCGGAGCTCCTTGTCATGTTTCAGTAAAATGCAGGCAGATGGATTACAACCTGACAGGTTTAGCATTATTAGTGCTTTGGGTGCTTGTGCTCTTGGGCATTTTTTGTTAAGTGGAAGGGAAATCCACTGCCAAGTGATTAGGAGACGGTTTCAATTAGATTTAATGATAGGGACTTCACTTATTGACATGTACGGAAAATGCGGTCTGGTGGATTACGCTGAAGGGGTATGTAATACCATTTCTCAAAAGAACGTGGTGGTTTGGAATGCAATGATAAGTGCATATGCCTTGAATGATAAATCATTCAAGTCATTTACTTGTATGAGGGAAATGCAAGAGAGTGGCAATTTGAATCCTGATGTTGTCACATTGATAAACTTGCTCCCCTCTTGTGCAAAACTGGAAGCTCTTGTGCAGGGAAAAGCCATCCATGGTTATGCCATTCGAAAAGGATTTTTTCCTCATTTAGTATTAGAGACTGCTTTAGTTGACATGTATGGTAAGTGTGCGAGGCTGAAATTGGCTGAAGGTATGTTTTTCTACATGAAGGAAAGAAATTTAATATCATGGAATGCCATGATTGCTGCTTATGTGCAGAATGGCTATGCCAGGAAAGCCTTGGAAATGTTTGAAGATATGTGGAACGAAAATTTTATCCCAGATGAGATGACATTTGCTAGTATCCTGCCAGCATATGCTGAAAAAGCCTTGCTAAAAGAAGGGATGCAAATTCACAGCTATATATGTAAATTGGGTTTTGCTTCTAGTACATTCATCTCCAATGCAATTATGTACATGTATGCAAAATGTGGGGATCTTCAGACTGCAAAAGAAATCTTCGATAGTATGTTGTTTAAGGATCTTATTTCATGGAACACAATAATATTAGCTTACGCCATCCATGGGTTTGGAGCATCTTCCATTAGATTGTTCTCTAAGATGAGGGAAGAGGGTATTGAACCGAATGGAAGCACATTTGTTTCCCTTTTATCATCCTGCAGCATTTCTGGGATGGAGGAAGAAGGTTGGGAATATTTTAATTCGATGAAAAGGGATTATGGAATCGATCCTGGAATAGAGCACTATGGCTGTATGCTTGATCTACTAGGCCGTGCTGGTAATCTTGACTTAGCTAAACGCTTTATAGATGAAATGCCTATAACACCAACTGCCCGGATCTGGGGATCTTTGCTGGTTGCGAGTAGACATCATAGAAACATAGAACTAGCTGAGCTAGCTAGAAACCATGTGTTGTCATTGAATCATGATAATACTGGATGCCATGTCTTGCTCTCGAACATGTATGCTGAAGTCGGCAGATGGGAAGACGTAGAACGGGTTAGATGTTGGATGAAAAACCAAAGATTAGAAAAAACCGTTGGATGCAGCATAGTTGAGTACAATAGTAAGACATACCGGTTCACCAATCACGATAAATCACAAATTAAGAGTAACATGATTTATGAAGTTCTTGATATGATTTCGAGGAAAATAGGGGAATATCAGTGTGGCCCTGACGTCACTAAGTTCAAGACAGTAGATTTGTTGAAGAAAAGGGATAACGCTCCTTTCTGCCACAGTGTGAGATTAGCTATTTCATTTGGCTTGATCTCCACATCGGTTGGGAACCCTGTGCTAGTTAGAAAGAACATTACGGTATGTGAAGATTGCCATAGTGCTGCAAAAAAGATTTCAGAGATAACTAACAGAGAGATTGTAGTAGGAGACTCAAAAATATATCACCATTTCAGGGATGGGAATTGTTCGTGTAGAGATTATTGGTGAATAAATTGTTTGAAGGACAAGAATACTTGTAAAATAATTAGCTTGAGATTTCAGGATTCAGCAGGTATCACTGGAATCATCTTCATGCTCCTCAAGTTGTACCAATATGGTCAAATTGAAAAGGTGAGTCGGCTAATGCTTACTGCTAAACGATTGGGAGTTCTATTAGATTGTCAACGAAGTTGGAATTCGAGTAAACAGAAGAGGAGAAAGGTATGTTGTGCATCTTGATTTTGTTAAAAGAAAGACACGGTAACTATTTACAGGTTCATTGATATCATATTGGACCTGTATGGACTATTTTAGTGGGAGCCTGAGAAAATGTTTAGGATAAAAATGTGGTAGTTACACGAGTGATAATAAATTAAGCTCAACATCGCAAATTTTGTTCAAGATGTTTTCAAGTTGGGTTTTGTGCTCATATAATATATTCTTGCTATAGTAAAATAGAAAATTCTAATAAATAAATTCTGTTTTTTTATTTAGTATTAATGCATTTTACTAAACATTGAGCATGTGAATAAAATTGTCAATGATCACATATGATAATATAAATTGGATGCTTGCATGGAGAAGTACCAAGTGATACAAATTATATTTTGACCATAAATAAAATAGTTCACAACTAATGCACAGGGTTGACACCTTGTACCGTAATGGTATAATTCACTATTTGGGATTGCAATTTGTCCTTGTTGAAAAAATAGTCTAAATGTGGTAATAGTATACTTAGAGTGTATTGAATAGATTTAATTATAGTATAATCTTGCGAAGAATTAAATTTCGCTTGTTCGTAAGATGTTTTATGTAAATCCCTCGACAAGATTATGTATAGATCTCGCGAGATTAATGATTTTTTGAATCGTCAATGAGTATGAATAATTTAATTAATCAAGTATTTCGATGAATTTGAAGCTTGAGAACAAGTGAAGTAGTGAACACAAATTCGTGTCAGAATCATCCTCAGATGGGATCATCGTCCTACAAAATGAGTTGAGCGATTACTAAAATATTTTCTGTTGAACGGTTACCTAATTATTGTATCTTGAATGAGGATGAGCTAGATAAGATCTAATTATTAGAGTTTGGATAATATATGTCTGAATAGGTTCATATGGTAGCTCAGTAAAGTTTTGGAGCCAATTGCAATTACTTGAAAAAAAAATTTAACTTGATTATAATTGTATTGAAATTCAAAGACTACATTTGCAATTAAACCTATGACCTAATTAGAGTTGGACTAAACTTTTTTGGTCCTATATTCACACTATAAAGTGGGCAAAAATCATGTGAGAAAAGAAAGAAATTGAAAATTTTGTTTTCTTGTTCTATTCTTGGTTCGTTCAATCTTGAATTTATTTTTTATTTTAATTGGAAAGGGTGTCCACACGTTATAGTATTGACTTTGGTGAATATCATAAAAGAAAGTGGCAAGATCTTGAATTCAAAAGCTGAAAGTTCATAATCTAAAAGAACTAAAATGTAGTGATTCAAATCCGATTAAGAACTTGATTATCGAATTGAGGTAAACCCTAAATTTATGTTTTTTATTGTAACATATACGTAAACATTTAATAATAATATTGATTTCCAGCATTGACTGCTATTGTTACATGATTGACTGGTTTTGATGAGATGAGACTGTAAGCAGGATTAATATGATACTGATTTCCCAACCAAACAGTCTAAGGAGGAAATGGGGAAAGCGACATATAAGAGTTGTTACATGTACAAAGTTGGTCGATAAAATAATATTGACCCCAATCATTTTAAAAATAGATTTTTAAAACATTGAAAATCAATGGCAGAAATTTTGTCAACACTCATTTGTCAATCAAATTTGTAAATACGTTTTCTACAAATAGCATAATACGGATAAGAGACACTTGGTGTCACCTAATATACCAAGAAAAGATAAAAAGTTACCTCTAACGAGAAGTAATAATTACCTTATCCACAGTAATCAGTAACGACTTTAATACGGTCACTTTTCAAGCATGCACGTGTACAGTATTGCGATAGGCCAAAGGGAAAGGTAGGAGCAATGGGCCATCGCTAGAGTTCTGTTTGTTAGGTTGCGTGGATCATAATGAAGTCAACAAACTTGTTACACTTGTCAAATATCGTGCTATTAATATGGACACGATAGGGGAGACCGACCTACCATATAGGAAAGAAATTATCTAATCGTTTAGAGAACAATAGAAAAATGAGAATTCTAACTTAAATAAAAATTAATGAAACGTATCAATCTATGTGACATTATGAAATGTATTTAATTAAATGAGAAATTATGTGATTCATTTAATTGAACTTATAATTTAAGAATATAATGTTATATATTACTAATGATGCTTGAACATCAATTTAGATGGTTACACTTGATAGGTTCAAATAAATAAATCATTTGACATTTCATTTAAATGAACATATTTATCAATATCATGTAGTTGCCACATGGACTAATACTTGACACTAGTAGTTCTAAATAACATAACTCGTAATTTAATGCTACTATCATTGTCATCTAGAATGGTGTTAAACACAGTAGTGATGTTAAATAGTATAACGCTAAATAAATGATAAATCAAATATTCAAAAAATTCATATATTATCATTTTTGGTTGGGATTAAAATTAGTGTTTTAGTAAATTTTGATAAAAGTTGATGAAATATATTATTGAAAAATTATGAGTCTCATAAAATATATGGTTAAAATTAATTATTGAATTTGACTTAAATAAAAATTAAATTTTAATCCCCACCAAACACAAATTATATTAGGAACTCTATTTTAATTATATTATGTCATTATGAAATGAGCTTGTTTCAAATTCGAAGAGGATTCTAACAAAAAAATATTTAGGATGTGTTGGATTGCAAGTATGAAATTTGTATGAAAAGAAAATAAATTCTAGACAGTTCAATTACCTAGAACTTATTTGCATGAAAATTGTCAATTAAATGTGTTTGATTGGTTTAATTTTTAACCTAGAAAATATTATACTTGTCCATTTTTTTATTGGTGGTTAGATAGAAAGAGAAAAAAGAGAGCGAATTCTCTAGAAAATAAAATTCTAATCTCTCTAAAGAAAATATTTTTCTTGATTTTGAGAGAGATATGGTCACGTAACCAAAAGTAGAAAAATATTTTTTATAAAAAAAAATCAATCAATCAATACAAAAGTAAGAATTTGAAGGTTGGAAAAATATATTTTTCATGAAAAATGTTAGCTATTTAACGCATCCTTAATTATTTCATCCATCCCATTAAAATAATTTTAAGAAATTGAATTGGAATAATATTATTTTTGAATTATCCAAATTAGTTGCTTTTGTAATTGTTGCTGGATAGGGTCAACTATAATATTTGCATTCGTTGCACATTGAGTTGATTAACAATATCGTCTGCGAGAAAAAAGTAAGATTCATGAAATTATAATCCTATTTTATTCTCGTTAAGAGTTTCAGTTTGATTTTGCTTCATCAATAAAGAAATCATTGCCATTAAATTATGTATATTATTATAATTTATTTAAAGAGCTACACGCCAATCTTGTGTTATACAACTATTGGAACACATATCTCTAAGATTATTGAGCTTCCTTCCGTTTGACAAATTTTTTAAATGATTTATAAATAGAAGTAGCGGTGAATCACGAAATAAATAATTATAATTAATGTTTGATTTGACTAAAATTATAAATTATTTACAAAGGAAGGCTAAATTTATCACATATGGAGAAGAGAGAAAGAAATTGAAGTTCATTCAAGCAAATGAAATAATGGATTCATGTAAAAATAAAATGTTATTTAATGTCGACAACATTTTCAATATTAACATATCATAAGTTCTAATAAATAAGTCATAAATTCTTGTATTTTATTTAACCGATAATTTAATGATATAAGTACAATCAGTTAGATCGATGTTAAACACTAATAATACTGAATAATATTACACCAAGTCTAAAAATCTTGCTTTATATTCTATTTAGTATTTTACACATCACTCCCCCAAATTGAGGGAATGAAAATTCTAATGAGTTAAAAAAACTAATAAAATACTACTATAATATTCACAAAAATAAAATAAAAAATAAAAGGAAAATCAATATCCCAGTCAAAACAAAGCTTTAAAAAACTGCAGCTTTGTCGTGTTGTACTGTGGACTCTCTCTTCACAGTCCACTTTGTCCTCATTTGTCTTGTACTCTGGCTCTCCTGTTGCTCGGAAGATAGGCTCTTAACCACCACAGAACGACGTCGTTAAAGCACCCAACCAATCCACGGCACTTTTCCATCATTTTCCTCACGAAAAATCTCCCTTCATCGTGCTTAAGCTCTGCCATAGGCTGCAGGTACGCCCACGCTGCATGCTGCACTAAAGGATCCTTGATCGGAATCTCCTTCCAGCTGTCCATCCGAATTGTCACCGGAGATCCGATCGACGACGGCGATGCCGGAAGTATGTCTTTCAGGCTGGTGTAGCTTAAATTTTGAACCGGAGTCATCTCTATATCGGAGTTTAGAAATTGATTAATGCCATTGGCTACGACAAATCGTTGAGCTTGCGAGCACTTCATCAGTGAAAAATCAAAATCGCCGCGAGGATTAAGTATCTGAGTTTCCATCCAACTTTTTTTGTGTGTCTGTGTGTGGAGAGAATGGGAAGGAGAGAGGGTGAGAGTGTGTAGTTGTAGGTCAGTGAAGGAGGTGAGTAGGGTCCACGCGCAATGGGAAAGGAGAGTTTGTAAAGACACGTGCTCAAGTAGCAGTTACTTGGTGGTGGTGGTCCAAGCGCGTGGATTGCGTCGATCAAATGTCTTCGTGTGCTAAACTTAGAATTTTGGCATTGAATAGTAGTAATTGGAATAATAAAGAATGGATTTGGCGATTTGGATATTTTCAAAAATTTAAGAAATCTTAATTAAATTAACTATTTGTCTTTTCATATGTCTTCTTAGAAAGTGTAATTTAAGATACCATTAGCAGAATGCATCACTGATTAGATCGCAATAATGATTAAATTAAGAGTCCGTTTGAGCCACATTATTTGTAGAATGAGAATGAAAAATAAAGTCGTTACGAGCTCCACACAAGAGATAGAAATTCAAAAATGGTAATTTGATGTGATGGATAACGATAATATTTTTCATTTTAATGAGGTGAAAATGGGACTCAAACAGGGCCTAAATGTACCGAATGGTGCTCCCCTCTTACAATGCACACGGGTTACGCCTGACTATAAAATTTTCCAAATGTAGTCATCACACCTTATTGTAAATAGTAGATAAAGGATTAAGTAAAAAAATTATGTACATATAACATTGTCCATAACAATAACCACCTACTTCATTGTCCACTGCAAAAAATACATCAAACCTCCATAGAACTACGAATTAAGGGGACCAATGATATATATTTACTAGTGGTAGATAGCTTTAGTAAACTAGAAATAGATATTTTGGTTGATGGTATTAATAGAATGCACTGAAAATTGGGAATGATTCTGATTGCGGAAGGCTAAGACGATGCCTCGCATATTGGTAGCATGGGGGCAATTAAGCCCTGAGGGTGGGAGGAAGGGCCCAATGTACTACTGAAATTTTGCAATCATACGGATTCATTGACAAGTAATAGTAAAAATGAGTAAAGACATCATCTTCATAAAGACTTGAATTGTAGCTCATATTCAATCAATTCGAGTTTAAAATGAATAAACACTCAATTGATGGTTGAACTTGACTATTCTAACTAAGTTATACAATGTATTTAAACAAATGCAAATGGAAGTTCGGAGAAAAAGAATCAATTGTAAAATACATGCTAAGAATCTGATACTATCACTAGTATTTGCTATAATTCCCAAAATCTCATTTTAACCCAATTTACGCATAGAAAGACAATCAATAATCTTATATTATCTAACAAAGTCTTTCCAGTAAAATTAAACATATTTTCATATACGACTCGAAATATTCCTATCTTGAATTCGAATATGTAAGAATGCATTAAATAGCAAGATTATTCAAACGGATAGCACACAGTATCGATATTATTTCTAACATTTATTGAACTTTATGTTGATTGTCAATTAAGAGTTATAACTACTTTGAACCTCTCGAAAACAAAATAAATCACAAAAACGTTTAAATGTTGTTCCTTCATTCAAATGGTAATACACGACAATTTCACGATACACGATATAGATTATAAAAACAGAATAATACATCGAATAATGGAGGCAGAAATGGGACCAGTGGGCTAGTGTGGATGGACCTTCCTGAGCCGCAGCTCGTGTAACTGACTAGCATATGTCCAAATGTTGAGTGAAGCATTGCTAGATCATTGATATGACTTCAAGTCTCTTTCAGGTTAAGAATGAAATTAAACAAAAAAAAAAAATCGCTACAAAATCATTGATCTTCTCCTTAATGAAGAGAATTTTTAAATCGTTGAGTTCTATTAAACACATAATGCAATATGTTTGAAGTCTAATAATATACTTCGGATTGCAGTTTGTTTAACGAACTTCGTTAAGAGAAAACTCTATTTGAAGTCCTTTAAACAGACAATTAACACTACGGAATGAAAGGATATTGTAAACCTTCTAAATTATAAGAGGCGATTTAGAGTTAATTTAAATGTTAAAAGTAAAATCGTTAGCGCGTATTCAAGAGACGTTATAAATTTGAGATATTCCCTTATTTTAAAGTGTAAAAGTTTGAAATTAAATTTCAAGAAACTCTTTAGTTTAATTTTTTACAATAAAGAGTGGGTGTGAACATCTATTCTCTATTTTACAATGATTTTATTTAATAAAAAAATCAATGTATCCATAATCAATCATTGCAGTAGTCATTTTATGTGGCAGTTTCTTATTTTTGCTATTGACATTTTAGAAAATATATAATATTTGAAAATTAAGAAAAGAGTATTATTGAGATTTTGTACAAAAGAATTCTTTTCCTATCAAAATAAGAATAATAATAATAATAATAGTAAAATTGTTGAAATTATTTTGCCCACTGACAACTAAGCATGTATAATAAATTCCCCACATTAAAACCCCCCCAAAATGGGAATTCATTTTAGAAAGGTCCGCCGTCTCTAGCGCACTGCACACCTTCTTCCATAACTTTCCATGGTTAGTACCGCGCTTCTTGACATTGTAAATCCCCCAATTTCCATATTAGATCACCGTGCAGTGCAATACACGGGTAAAATATTTCAAACTAATAATATAGTGTTATGTGTACTATTCTTGTATATTATGGCTATTTAGTTAAAATTGGAACTCTACATCTTTTTCATGTTTCTGATATTGTTGATTCGGTGATTTTTCATGGTTTGTTGAGGGATTCTGTGGATTATTATGAATGATAAGATCAACGCAATTTTGGAAATCAGGATTAATGATTTTATTAATTGATAAAAGTTTATTCTTGTTTAGATTTACATGTCCTAGGTATCTACTATTTTGATCTTTAAATTTCTTGAGGTGTATATGGCAACTGGATCTATTATTTTGAGTTGGTTGCATTTCATGAGAGCTTAATCTGCTATGCTTTGTCTATAAATTATGCAATTTGATTTTCATGTTGACTTGCAGACATTCATGTCCACTCTCAAATAGTTTGCTTCAATTGTTTCTTGAATGTGCTTGGATTATCTTGTTTCCAACTTTTTCTCTCTTGAGCAATTCAATATCTGTAAAAGTTCATCAATTGACTTTTTGGAGAGAGACACAAAGCGAAATGAACGAATTGAGAAAGCTCGTTACTATATTGCTTTCTTGATATTTTGTCCTGTCCCTTTCAGATATCTGCCTCTCCTTTTACTACCTACCATGAGTATATTCAATTTTGATATTGCACACAGAAACAAAGAGCTTCTTCTGCTAAGTTAACATCTATTCGGATGAGGGAAGACAATAATGTTGAGTACGTAGGTTTGGAGGATGGTGTTTATCCCAAGTTACAAAACTTCAATAAGGTTTCAATTATACCTCTTGTTTTCCTGATATTTTATGAGGTCTCTGGTGGACCTTTTGGAGTTGAAGATAGCGTCCAGGCTGCTGGTCCTCTTTTAGCCTTGCTTGGCTTTCTACTTTTCCCATTGGTATGGAGTGTACCAGAAGCCCTAATAACTGCAGAATTGGGTACCATGTTCCCTGAGAATGGAGGTTACGTGGTTTGGGTTTCATCGGCTTTGGGTCCTTACTGGGGATTCCAGCAAGGGTGGATGAAGTGGCTAAGTGGAGTTATTGACAATGCGCTTTATCCTGTTTTATTTCTAGATTATCTGAAATCGGGTATACCGATTCTAGCAGACGGTTTCCCTCGGATTATGGCTGTGCTTGTGCTGACATTAATGCTCACATACATGAACTACCGGGGTATGACCATAGTTGGATGGGTTGCTATATTGTTAGGGGTGTTCTCTCTACTTCCTTTCTTGTTTATGGGAGTTATAGCGATTCCTGAATTGGAACCTTCAAGATGGTTTGTGCTGGATTTGAACAATGTGGATTGGGGATTATACTTAAATACTCTGTTCTGGAATTTAAATTATTGGGATTCAATCAGTACTCTAGCTGGTGAGGTTGAAAATCCTGGTGGAACACTCCCCAAGGCTCTATTCTATGCCCTTATATTGGTTGTACTCGGATACTTTTTTCCCCTTCTCATTGGCACGGGAGCTGTCCCCCTTGATCGTGAGCTGTGGAGTGATGGGTATTTCTCCGACATAGCAAACATCCTTGGTGGGGTATGGTTGAGACTTTGGATTCAAGGGGCTTCTGCTCTATCAAACATGGGGATGTTTGTGGCTGAGATGAGCAGTGATTCATTTCAACTTCTCGGGATGGCTGAACGCGGGATGCTTCCTGAATGTTTTTCCAAGAGGTCTCGCTATGGAACTCCTCTTCTTGGGATTTTGTTTTCCGCATCTGGTGTGATATTGCTTTCATGGCTTAGCTTTCAGGAGATTGTTGCCGCGGAGAACTTCCTTTACTGTTTTGGAATGATAATGGAATTCGTAGCTTTCATCAAGCTAAGAATTAAGCACCCTGCAGCATCTCGACCGTACAAGATTCCCGTAGGTACATTTGGATCAATTCTATTGTGTATTCCTCCTAGCCTCTTGATATTGGTGGTCCTGGCTATGGCATCTTTCAAAGTAATGGTTCTTAGCCTCTTGGCCATCGGTATAGGGCTTCTTCTGCAACCTTGTTTAAGTTACAGTGAGAAAAAGGGATGGTTCAGATTCTCCGCAAGTTCTGATCTCCCGGATTGGGATTACAATAATCACAGGCCCATTGAGCCATAGACTGAACAATGGAACTTCTATGTTGATGGTGCAAGTGAAACTTTTATTTGTTTCTAGCATTGTGATGGGGTTTTCCTTGGCAATTTAGATAATAACCATTGTTAATGGTGTAAGTGAGCTATTTATTTTTTCTGGCATTCACTTAAAATTATTTTCTCTGACATTGTAGCATAAGTGTCTACTATTTCAAGTTTTATTCAATAACTAGGTATTGAATTAGTATAAAATTATTCAGGAAACCAAATCTTTATCCTACTTAAGATAATTTAATGACAGATCATTAGATTAACAACAATTTTTTCTCATAAAAAATATTGATTTTTAGATATTTCAATAGGTTTTACTTTTTACGGTAAAAACAAGCTTTAATGTGATCTGTAAACCCAACTACTGTTACTGTCCATGCATGGCTAAAAGCTAGCATTTTACAACCAAATTTAAATAAAAATAAGTTAACTATAACAGTTACAGCTATAAAATTTGCATATTTTTCTTTAATCCACAGACACCACAGCAACAAGAACGGTTCATAAGGTGAACAGGTGCGTTTAACAGGAACTACATGCAACCTGCTTTATCTTCACAAGAAGTTGAGGCACTTTGTTGATGTACGATAGAAATCACGAGGTCGTCCCGTCTCATAGAATTGCAATCACATGCCGAAACCAATATCCCTTTATAGTGAGGTTAAATGTTTTATTAGAAAGAGGAGTAACAGACTCTTCTTCAAAATCGAAAAGATACTTCTTCTTTAACACATTACTTTTGCCTCTGCGCAGCCTGTCATCATTAAAGAAAGGTTAGAAAACCAGTGACAATCAGGAAATGCTATAGTTAATAGTAAATGATCTTGGGAGACTGAAAAAATAAAAATTAAAAAAAAGTGAAAGCAAAGTGATAAATGGACACCGGACGAAGAAAGAAATATTGATGATGAGAATATGAAATGAATGCGAACGGCCCACTATTATCTCAGTTGTTTGAAATTTAAGGCAGACACGCTTATGCACAATAGTATACTTGTAAATAAGATTTGATTTCACTATAGGCAGGTCAATAGGAATCCAGCTATAGAGCTGAAATGATGCCCACAAAGAACATTAAGAATGTGCTTATTTTCGGGGAAGTAGAAGTCCAAAGTGGGCCATCTCATATCTAAACAATAGAAGTCCAAAAATGCTTATATCAAAGTTCACAAATCATGCATTTAGATATACTCTTTCAAAAGCAACGGAGAAATAAGGCAACTGAAATCATGGGTGAGAAAATCCCATAATTATCATTCAAGCACAATGTCTGTTCGGGTCTACTACTAAAATACTCACCATTCACTAACTAGAATTTTTTGTCTTCTTCAAATTCTTTTGCTATCTCATATACTGGCATCTACCAGACTTGATATGGGTTCGAGACACCTATATTATGTAGAAATGTAATTACAAAAAAAAAATTATGCAACCATTATTCACATTAAATATCAAGCAAGGCCCAAACACAGGAATTGCAGCAATCAGTTGCACGATACCACAAGCACCGATGACATGCATCTATGGAGTGTCCAAAAGATATATTAGCGCAAAGAGAATACCAACTATTTCATTAGAATTACTGGCATTGTTAAAGAGGCCAAGCTTAGAAATATCTCCAAGTTCACAATTCATTTATCATGTCAACTGTCCGTAGATCTGAATTATGATTATAAATATCCTCTTATTCCATATCTGATCATAAATTGATTATAACTGCAACATGGACTGCATCGACATTTTAATTGGCCCAGTTAGCCCAGGAAACTAAAATGACTCCTTGTTGGATCCTTCCCCTCACATCGCCTCCCAAATGTCACTCATCCCAACCCCTTAGGAAATCCTAAACTGACTGTTTCTTTATTTGCTCATGTAAAAGTAACAAAGATCAAACATGAAAATAAGGCTTCCTATTTCGAGTGAGTGATGCCAAGATTTTACAAGGTCAAATGCCAAGACAAATGGAAAATAGCATGGTAAATGCATGTCCATAGAAAATAAATTTATATGCTATAAAGTGAGGACACAAGAATAACATGCTGAATGAAATAAATAACATTTTCAAGGCAGTAGCACCCACCTTTTTCAACTTGTCCAGTACTGATTCTTCAAAAGCCTGATATCCAGCACCAACAAGATTACTCAGTTTCGGAACATCGGATTCTGTATTAGCCTCTACACCAAAGTTAACTGGTGACGAAGCTGGTTGAAGAGGCAACACTAGAAGAGGATTTGAGAGATCCCCCAAGACATTCCCAGTAGCAGCATCCTGTCAAAGAAAATGCCCCTTCAGAGACTAGATGATAAACTACAAAAATCAATTTGGGAGGAAAGAAATTCATTAACGAAAAAAAGGTTTAAAAAAAAAAAAAAAACATACAGCTGCATCTTTAGACCCCATTACAACAAGGGCAGACCCTTTCTTCTTGGAACTCTTGATGACTACATCTTCCACCACACCAAACTCCGCAAAAATTTCCCTGAGTCTTTGAGCTGTATAGTCTTCGCCGGTCTTCTCCCATGAAACCTTAAGAACCTTTTCCTTGTTTAACCCGCTACCACCATCATCCATATTACTTTTTCCCCTTGCATTGGTATCTTTCGTTGAAGGAGTTGTAGTAGCAGATCCTTTGTTACTATGCATTGTACGAATTCTAGCAATCTCTTCCTTAAGCTTCCTAGCAATTCTCTCTTCCTCTTCTCGAGCTCTCGAGCTGGGGTCAGGAGCAAAAGCATATCGCTCTCTTTCTTCGAGATCTGACATCATCTTCCGGCGCTTGGAGTCCTGTTGTGACTGGCGTTGAAACTTTTCTCGTTTCACCCGAAGCAGATCATCAAACAACTTTCTAGCTTTTTCATCCTTTAGGATCGCATATGATGTCGTAAGCTTTTGAAAATTGTCATGCGCATTAGGGTCATCAGGTCTCTTATCTGGGTGCAATTCCAAGGCCTTCAGTCTGTAAGCTTTTGTAATTTCTTTCTCCGAAAGCTTGGCACCTTCTTCACCAGATGGCAAGCCCAAAACAACATAATGGTCGATTTCACCATCCATATCTTCAACTCTTTATAGTCTACACACGGAGAAATGAAAAACAGCAAATAAACAATAGAATGTCAGGAACATTTAACGTAACACATGGTGTAATACAACAGGCAATGTTACAGCATTTATAATAATTTATTGTTCACAAATGCAAAAGGAAAACCATAAACGGACATAAAAAAATTTCAATAGAGACAATGTCGAGAAAATCTTTGTTGCATAAGGAAGCCTACCATCAACAAACAACAATTTTGGAAAAAATAAAAAACAAAAATCTCTGGGCCTGCTTTCCAATTTTTATCCACCCACTGTTTATGAGAGATTAGGAAAACAAGTTATTGTTAGTTTGAAGCACAAGTAATTCTAGTGAAGTGTAATTTTTGTTGTATTTCTGAACCCACAAAAATCAGTGAATTTTTGCCCATTTTCATATTTTCTTTCAATTTCACCCTTTCTAAAACAATTATTTCAAATCTACTCTAAAAAGAAATGAAAATTGGATAAAAAGAAAAGAAATTCCTCTTCAAATAAGCTTAAAAAAATTATCTTCACAAATATATTCGTTTTTAGTCATTAAATTGTAAAGAGTGATGTCCTCCATATTGTTCACACATATCTACCTTTCTTTTAAAAGAGATATATACATAATTTGATTCTTTTAAAAGAATTTCAGAACCGCTGAATAATAATTCTCAAGAATGAATTAGACAGTTTAAAAAATGGCTACTAAAAACCACCCAAAAGACTTTAAGAAACCCTATAACCGATAGCCAAAACTCCCAACCGATTTCTGAGGAGCTAAAAGATGAGAATGGCGATAAATAAGTGTTGAAATTAAATTCTTCACAACAATCAAATCCAGTGCGAAATCAACAGATAAAGCCTGTTTTTACAAAAATCATACCTTCTGAATTTCGTGATGAAGAAGTTGAATTACCGGAGTAGGAATCACAGCAAAACAAGAGAAATTGGTGGCAAAAGCTAACCCCGCCGATTATGTCCTCCTATTGCTCGACGAACAAGACTTAAAAACCGGCCTGGAATTTGGACATGCTCTTTCGAATTAATTGTCTTTTAATTAGGCTTCAGATTGCTTAAATACCTAAAAATTATACGTAAAGTGGAAATTACACCATACGCCTTATTTTTATAAAATATTCAAATTATATTATTAAATACTTTTTAAATAAAAAATACGTCTTAAAAAAGCGAAATTGCATCTCTCGTCAATTAATTGATTCTCTGGCTATAATCATTTCACCAAACACGCCTCAACACTCCAAGTTATGTTGCCAAAAAAATCCCAAATTTTAGTCTTATTGATTACATCAAAATCTAGGTTTTATTTAACACATTGTGCCATTATATCCATATCCATGACGCGATTTTGCATTTACCCATTTTGGCTATTGTTCTTGGTTATGGTTATAGAGGATGGGATATTTGGCTGTGAAATGTTTCCAAGAAATGCAAAGTTAGGGAATCAAGGGGGATTGCATCACATTTTCCACCATCAAGAAAGGCAGTTCTGCTGCTTCTATCCCTATTTGGAATGATTTGGTTCACAATCATATTTGTGCTATCAACGTATAGTCATTCAGGTCTTATAGAAGAGAGTCTTGAAATTCAACAACACGAGAGTCGGATGGTGGTATACTCAAATTAGTTACATTGCAAACGACGATATAAGTGTATATATATAAAATTACAGCAATTAAGGTAAACAGTCCCTGAACATTCCATTGCTACTGGACAATAATCAGATTACATGGAATATCCAAAGTTGCAGTAATCTTGGTTAAAAATTAAATATACACACATTATCTGTAATCATTCTGTAAAAAATTTCTAGAAGATAATTCAAAGAGATCACTCGTCAGACGTCACACATAATGAATATCTCACTGAAACCAATTTGTCACGATCGCCAATAGTGAGTGCTCTTAACTCATATCCATATGTTCATCGTACAGATTTAACGCTACTCATTTTTTCCATCTTTGAAAAATTTCCAGTTACAATATCCAAAAAGCAAATTTTATTATACAGTATTCTTGGGATTTTAATAGGGTTATGTAGTAATTTCGGTTATTACTTGGGTTTAATAGTATAAAATAAATTATTATATATTAATCATCTATATTATATATGATTTTTATGTAAAACTACACGACGGAAATTATAATTGTAAAAAGGAAAAATTACACAACTAGGCTACACTTAGGGCAAAGTTAAATAAAAAAAATCTTGTAAATGCACAAGATCTTTAGATTTAGGTGTAAATCTTATATTGTACATAAATTTTTGACGAGTTTGGAATTTTTTAACAGAAATCCTACATTCAATAAGTTAAATGATTGTCTTAAAATCTTCAATGCACTCATGTGAGAAAATTAAGCAAAATCATGATTTTAAGATTTAATTATCATTAATCAAACTATTAAAAATTTTCTTTAAAAATCAGGCTTTTATTATAGACAATATGTAAGTTTAATATTTTTAAATCTATATTATCAAATAATATAGTCTAGTAAGTAATCTCGAATTTGAAAATTAATTTCCATCTTAAACGGATTTCAAAATCACATAATTTGGAGAGAGATAATTAGACTTTGAATAATTAAATTCAGCATTTGCATTCTCAAGTTCTAAATGAAGCCTTCAATCTTGAAATCATGTCAATATTATCGCACGCGAAGTCATAATTTTCAAAGAAACATATTTTAGGCCACATTTCGAAGAGAGAAATACAAAATAGTGTCACATATTTACATATTCCTATTACTGTCACATACACAATCTATTAAATCAATATCACATGACATTTTATAAATAATTTAAGTCACAATCACTGAACCTCATAAGTCACAACCATACAACATAACGATAATCTTCACACGAAATGATAATATTTCAATCACACGTCTACGGTCATAATCTTAAATTGTACATGCATACTTGCAACTATAGATTGTTACAATTTTGTGACTAGTCTGGTCACAGAACCTGTATGTCCCAATTACACAATATATTAGGTCAAAGTCATAATTTTCAAGCAAAATGATCGAAAAATATTGTAGGCATCAATGTGTGTGATTGGAACAATTGTTCACAAACAATAGTTTAACTTACGTGCCATACCAATAGATGCAAAATCAATGTAAAAAGAGTGATAAATTATTCTGGAAAAAAACTGCTCAAAAGAAGGAAACAATAATTCCACAGAAATCACATAGTGAATTTGTGAGAACATTGAACAAGAAGATAGCTGATTGTTTTTTTTAGTTAGTAAAAAGATAAAAAAGAATAATATCAATTACCCATTATCAATCCTCAATCCTCAATATAAGTTAATTTATTCTCTTACTTAAAATCATCTATTTATAATTTTAGGAAAGATAATACTAATTTATGACCTGATTTTTAAAAGAATTCTATAGATTTGATATTTTAATAGTTAAGATTTTTTCCCATCCTAATATCTCAGAAATTTCAGATTATGCACTTCCATCAAACGAAGTGCTTATTGCATGTAAAGAATATTACTATAACAAACAGAACATAAATATATGTCCAATTATTATTTAACATAATAATACAGAACAAGCCAGATACAGGAAAGCAGCGTGAACAAAAATTGTCCAGCAAACAGAAGTTCCCAAAAAGCCCCTTTCACCCTAATACCGCACTACATAAGTAGGATCGACATAATGACTTAAAAGAATACAGTATCTAATCGGTTTCCTCAAAAGAATATGAACGTCTTAATGCCTTGGCTTTTCTAGGGCTCATTGAGACTCGACTTTTATTATTAAAACCGGATAAAGAAAATCCACAAACTAAGAAAATTAATGTCACAGGGCATATCAAACAGAAATAGAGTAAAAAGATCGTCCCTTCTCATCAGTTAGATACATCCCGGCTGTAGTATTGATCGAGTGTCTTTGCTGGTATACGGTGGAGGAGTTCCCGTGGAAAGATCCGGAGAAGAGTCCATGCCAGATCAAGTGACTGGAAGATGTTGCGGGTGTCATAGGCCCCTTGGGCAACAAATTTCCTCTCAAACTTGTCGAGGAACTCGAGATATAGCTGTTAATTCAAGTGGGAGATGTATTAGTTATTGTAATTATTACTTTAAATAAAATTGAATCGACAAACTTATTCTATAACGGACCAGATCCTCCGACGAAAGTGCTTCTTCTCCAACCACGGCTTTCATTGCCTGGACATCTTTTCCAATGGCATAATTTGCATATAGCTGGAAAATCAGAAAGACGGTAATTAAACATGCAATAGAAAAATGCAAAATTTGAATTTATTACATTAAAACTAAAAACAATGCTATCTAGCACCAGTGCCGCTAGAGTACAAGTCTAGTTGTCTACATTTTATAGATTCAATTAAATGAGTCACATGACTTTGTATTTAAATAATTCTATCATTTAATGATGTATAATAGTCACCTAGACTGGTGCTTAACTCCGGTGGTGATTAATAGCATTACTTTTAAAACTAATCAACAGTGAAAACTGCCATGTGGGAGGAGGGTGGTGGTTCTTTAATCGATCTGTACCAATTGTATAACATGGAAGTCACAGCTGCAGCCTTTAGTTACATTGTCAAGTACTGAGGCAGAATATGTTGCCATAACTGAGGCGGCTAAAGAATGTACTTAGTTAAAAGGAATTTTAAAAGAATTGAACTTCATGCATGATACACCTGTTATGTTTACTGATAGTCAAAGTGCTTTATTGCTTTGTAAAAATCCTGTTTACCATGAAAGAACTAAACATATTGAGGTAAAGTATCATTTTATACGTGAGAAACTGTCTCAAGGTGAAGTTAATCTCGTTAAAATTCACACTGATAGGAATCCCTCTGACATGGGAACAAAAATTCTACCTGCAAGTAAATTTAGATTGTGCTTATCTTTATTACACATTGACACTGGTTAATTTTTCTTGCAGGTGGTGGGCGATGATGATAAACAGTTCTTCCATGTGCAAATTCGCAACCAAGAGAGAGTGTTAGGAGAACCAAGGTGAAGAATGTGAGGATATGGTTCACCTAACCCCACCCAATGTTGTGACTTGATAGTAGTGAGGTTGACACAATATATGGTCTTCCACGTTTTGGCAGAGGCATGGTCTTCCTACCTTCCCCTTCAGATGTACTCTCTATTATTTAAATGGAGGGGGCAGCTCTCGGTCCAAATAATCCCCAGCAGAAGGTGGAGCTCTCGGTTTTTCATAGAAGGGTGGTGGTTCTTCATTGGTTTTTCCCCCTCTCTCTTTGGAAGGCAATTGGCATAGCATGGGGCTGTTCCTGAGCCTGGAAAAACACCCATAAATCTAAGAAGAAGCTGCTGAAACGAAGAAGAAGAAGCTGGACAGAAATGGGCAGAATAAAGGGGTTGTATTCTTCCGATTTTATTTTCTTGTTTTTGACTTGAATCTTGTTTGTTGATTGTTGTTTTGGTTGTTTGAACTCCTAGGATCCCCAACAATATTTAATAAAAAAATAATATTATCCATAATGAGTCATTGCAGTAGTCATTTTATATAGCAAATTCTTATTTTAGCTATTGACATATTAAAAAATGTATAATATATGAAAATTAAGAAAGGAGTATTATTGAGATTTTGTACGAAAGAATTCTTTTCCTATCAAAATAATCTATATAATAATAATAATAATAAATAAATAAATAAATAAATAAACATATAAATAAAATTGTTGAAATGTTTAAAAATCATTACCCTTATTTTGCCCCCGGTCAACTAAGCAAGTATAATAAATTCCCCACATTAAAAACCCCCAAAAATGGGAATTCATTTAGAAAGATCCGCCGTCTCTAGCACACTGCACACCTTCTTCCATTCCTTAACGTTCCATGGTTAGTACCGCGCTTCTTGACATTGTAAATCCCCCAATTTCCATATCAGATCACCGTGCAGTGCAATACACGGGTAAAATATTTCAAACTAATAATATTATGGCTATTTAGTTAAAATTGGAACTCTACATCTTTTTCATGTTTCTGATATTGTTGATTCGGTGATTTTTCATGGTTTGTTGAGGGGGTCTGTGGATTATTATGAGGGATAAAATCAACGAAATTTTGGAAATCAGGATTAATGATTTTTTATTAATTGATAAAAGTTTATTCTTGTTTAGATTTACATGTCCTAGGTATCTATTGTTTTGATCTTTAAATTTCTTGAGGTGTATATGGCAACTGGATCTATTATTTTGAATTGGTTGCATTTCATGAGAGCTTAAGCTGCTATGCTTTATCTATAAATTATGCAATTTGATTTTCATGTTGACTTGCAGACATTCTGTCCACTCTCAAATATTTTGCTTCAATTGTTTGTTGAATGTGCTTGGATTATCTTGTTTCCAACTTTTTTTCTCTTGAGCAATTCAATATCTGTAAAAGTTCATCAATTGACTTTTTGGAGAGAGGCACAAATCGAAATGAACGAATTGAGAGAGCTCGTTACTATATTGCTTTCTTGATATTTTGCCCTGTCCCTTTCAGATATCTGCCTCTCCTTTTACTACCTACCATGAGTATATTCAATTTTGATATTGCACACAGAAACAAAGAGCTTCTTCTGCTAAGTTAACAACTATTCGGATGAGGGAAGACAATAATGTTGAGTACGTAGGTTTGGAGGATGGTGTTTCTCCCAAGTTACAAAACTTCAATAAGGTTTCAATTATACCTCTTGTTTTCCTGATATTTTATGAGGTCTCTGGTGGACCTTTTGGAGTTGAAGATAGTGTCCAGGCTGCTGGTCCTCTTTTAGCCTTGCTTGGCTTTCTACTTTTCCCATTGGTATGGAGTGTACCAGAAGCCCTAATAACTGCAGAATTGGGTACCATGTTCCCTGAGAATGGAGGTTACGTGGTTTGGGTTTCATCGGCATTGGGTCCTTACTGGGGATTCCAGCAAGGGTGGATGAAGTGGCTAAGTGGAGTTATTGACAATGCGCTTTATCCTGTTTTATTTCTAGATTATCTGAAATCTGGTATACCAATTCTAGCAGACGGTTTCCCTCGGATTATGGCAGTGCTTGTGCTGACATTAATGCTCACTTACATGAACTACCGGGGTATGACCATAGTTGGATGGGTTGCTATATTGTTAGGGGTGTTCTCTCTACTTCCTTTCTTGTTTATGGGAGTTATAGCAATTCCTGAATTGGAACCTTCAAGATGGTTTGTGCTGGATTTGAACAATGTGGATTGGGGATTATTCTTAAATACTCTGTTCTGGAATTTAAATTATTGGGATTCAATCAGTACTCTAGCTGGTGAGGTTGAAAATCCTGGTGGAACACTCCCCAAGGCTCTATTCTATGCCCTTATATTGGTTGTACTCGGATACTTTTTTCCCCTTCTCATTGGCACGGGAGCTGTCCCCCTTGATCGTGAGCTGTGGAGTGATGGGTATTTCTCCGACATAGCAAACATCCTTGGTGGGGTATGGTTGAGACTTTGGATTCAAGGGGCTTCTGCTCTATCAAACATGGGGATGTTTGTGGCTGAGATGAGCAGTGATTCATTTCAACTTCTCGGGATGGCTGAATGCGGGATGCTTCCTGAATGTTTTTCCAAGAGGTCTCGCTATGGAACTCCTCTTCTTGGGATTTTGTTTTCCGCATCTGGTGTGATATTGCTTTCGTGGCTTAGCTTTCAGGAGATTGTTGCCGCGGAGAACTTCCTTTACTGTTTTGGAATGATAATGGAATTCGTAGCTTTCATCAAGCTAAGAATTAAGCACCCTGCAGCATCTCGACCGTACAAGATTCCCGTAGGTACATTTGGATCAATTCTATTGTGTATTCCTCCTAGCCTCTTGATATTGGTGGTCCTGGCTATGGCATCTTTCAAAGTAATGGTTCTTAGCCTCTTGGCCATCGGTATAGGGCTTGTTCTGCAACCTTGTTTAAGTTACAGTGAGAAAAAAGGATGGTTCAGATTCTCCGCAAGTTCTGATCTCCCGGATTGGGATTACAATAATCACAGGCCCATTGAGCCATAGACTGAACAATGGAACTTCTATGTTGATGGTGCAAGTGAAACTTTTATTTGTTTCTAGCATTGTGATGGTGTTTTCCTTGGCAATTTAGATAATAACCATTGTTAATGGTGTAAGTGACGTATTTATTTTTTCTGGCATTCACTTAAAATTATTTTCTCTGACATTGTAGCATAAGTGTCTACTATTTCAAGTTTTATTCAATAACTACGTATTGAATTAGTATAAAATTATTCAGGAAACCAAATCTTTATCCTACTTAAGATAATTTAATGACAGATCATTAGATTAACAACAATTTTTTCTCATATAAAAAATACTGATTTTTAGATATTTCAATAGGTTTTACTTTTTACGGTAAAAACTAGCGTTAAGGTGATCTGTAAACCCAACTACTGTTACTGTTTATGCATGGCTAAGAGCTAGCATTTTACAACCAAATTTAAATAAAAATAAGTTAACTATAACAGTTACAGCTATAAAATTTGCATATTTTTCTTTAATCCACAGACACCACAGCAACAAGAACGGTTCATAAGGTGAACAGGTGCATTTAACAGGAATTACATGCAACCTGCTTTATCTTCACAAGAAGTTGAGGCACTTTGTTGATGCACGATAGAAATCACGAGGTCGTCCCGTCTCATAGAATTGCAATCACATGCCGAAACCAATATCCCTTTATAGTGAGGTTAAATGTTTTATTAGAAAGAGTAACAGACTCTTCTTCAAAATCGAAAAGATACTTCCTCTTCTTTAACACATTACTTTTGCCTCTGCGCAGCCTGTCATCATTAAAGAAAGGTTAGAAAACCAGTGACAAGTTAGTCAGGAAATGCTACAGTTAATAGTAAATGATCTTGGGAGACTGAAAAAATAAAAATTAAAAAAAAAAGTGAAAGCAAAGTGATAAATGGACACCAGACGAAGAAAGAAATTTTGATGGTGAGAATATGAAATGACAACGAACGGCCCACTGTTATCTTAGTTGTTTGAAATTTAAGGCAGACACGCTTATGCACAATAGTATACTTGTAAATAAGATTTGATTTCACTATAGGCAGGTCAATAGGAATCCAGCTATAGAGCTGAAATGATGCCCACAAAGAACATTAAGAATGTGCTTATTTTCGGGGAAGTAGAAGTCCAAAGTGGGCCATCTCATATCTAAGCAATAAAAGTCCAAAAATGGTTATATCAAAGTTCACAAATCATGCATTTAGATATACTCTTTCAAAAGCAACAGAGAAATAGGCAACTGAAATCATGTGTGAGAAAATCCCATAATCATCATTCAAGCACAATGTCTGTTCGGGTCTACTACTAAAATACTCTCCATTCACTAACTAGAATTTTTTGTCTTCTTCAAATTCTTTTGCTATCTCATATTCTGGCATCTACCAGACTTGATATGGGTTCGAGACACCTATATTATGTAGAAATGTAATTACTAAAAAAAATTATGCAACCATTATTCACATTAAATATCAAGCAAGGCCCAAACACAGGAATCGCAGCAATCAGTTGCACGATACCACAAGCACTGATGACATGCATCTATGGAGTGTCCAAAAGATATATTAGCGCAAAGAGAATACCAACTATTTCATTAGAATTACTGGCATCGTTAAAGAGGCCAAGCTTAGAAATATCTCCAAGTTCACAATTCATTTATCATGTCAACTGTCCGTAGATCTGAATTATGATTATAAATATCCTCTTATTCCATATCTGATCATAAATTGATCATAATTGCAACACGGACTGCATCGACATTTTAATTGGCCCAGTTAGTCCAGGAAACTACAATGACTCCTTGTTGGATCCTTCCCTTCACATCGCCTCCCAAATGTCACTCATCCCAACCCCTTATGAAATCCTAAACTGACTGTTTCTTTATTTGCTCATGTAAAAGTAACAAAGATCAATCCCACCTCCCTCAGAGACAATGGTAACAAACTCAACCAAACAAATATGTGGCAAACATGAAAATATGGCTTCCTATTTCGAGTGAGTGATGCCAAGATTTTACACAGTCAAATGCCAAGAAAAATGGAAAATAGCATGGTAAATGCATGTCCATAGAAAATAAATTTATATGCTATAAAGTGAGGACACAAGAATAACATGCTGAATGAAATAAATAACATTTTCAAGGCAGTAGCACCCACCTTTTTCAACTTGTCCAGTACTGATTCTTCAAAAGCCTGATATCCAGCACCAACAAGATTACTCAGTTTCGGAACATCGGATTCTGTATTAGCCTCTACACCAAAGTTAACTGGTGATGAAGCTGGTTGAAGAGGCAACACTAGAAGAGGATTTGAGAGATCCCCCAAGACATTCCCAATAGCAGCATCCTGTCAAAGAAAATGCCCCTTCAGAGACTAGATGATAAACTGCAAAAATCAATTTGGGTGGAAAGAAATTCATTAACGAAAAAAAGGTTTAAAAAAAAAAAAAAAACATACAGCTGCATCTTTAGACCCCATTACAACAAGGGCAGACCCTTTCTTCTTGGAACTCTTGATGACTACATCTTCCACCACACCAAACTCCTCAAAAATTTCCCTGAGTCTTTGAGCTGTATAGTCTTCGCCGGTCTTCTCCCATGAAACCTTAAGAACCTTTTCCTTGTCTAACCCGCTACCACCATCATCCATATTACTTTTTCCCCTTGCATTGGTATCTTTCGTTGAAGGAGTTGTAGTAGCAGATCCTTTGTTACTATGCATTGTACGAATTCTAGCAATCTCTTCCTTAAGCTTCCTAGCAATTCTCTCTTCCTCTTCTCGAGCTCTCGAGCTGGGGTCAGGAGCAAAAGCATATCGCTCTCTTTCTTCGAGATCTGACATCATCTTCCGGCGCTTGGAGTCCTGTTGTGACTGGCGTTGAAACTTTTCTCGTTTCACCCGAAGCAGATCATTGAACAACTTTCTAGCTTTTTCATCCTTTAGGATCGCATATGATGTTGTAAGCTTTTGAAAATTGTCATGCGCATTTGGGTCATCAGGTCTCTTATCTGGGTGCAATTCCAAGGCCTTCAGTCTGTAAGCTTTTGTAATTTCTTTCTCCGAAAGCTTGGCACCTTCTTCACCAGATGGCAAGCCCAAAACAACATAATGGTCGATTTCACCATCCATATCTTCAACTCTTTATAGTCTACACACACACACTGATATGAAAAACAGCAAATAAAAAAAATAATGTCAGGAACATTTAATGTAACACATGGTGTAAGACAACAGGCAATGTAACAGCATTTTATAAGAATTTATCATTCACAAATGCAAGGGAAAACCATAAACGGACATAAAAAATTCAATGGATACATTGTCGAGAAAATCTCTGTTGCGTAAGGAAGCCTACTATGAACAAACAACAATTTTGGAAAAAATAAAATTCTTTGGACCTGCTTTCCAATTTTTATCCACCCACTGTATATGAAAGGTTAGGAAAACAAGTTATTGTTAGTTTCTTGAAGCATAGGTAATCCTAGTGAAGTGTAATTTTTGTTGTATTTCTCAACCCAAAAAAATCAGTTAATTTTTGCCCATTTTCATATTTTCTTTCAATTTCACCCTTTCTAAAACAATTATTTCAAATTTACTCTAAAAAGAAATGAAAATTGGATAAAAAGAAAAGAAATTCCTCTTCAAATAAGCTTAAAAAAATTATCTTCACAAATATATTCGTTTTTAGTCATTAAATTGTAAAGAGTGATGTCCTCCATATTGTTCACACATATCTACCTTTCTTTTAAAAGAGATATATACATAATTTGATTCTTTTAAAAGAATTTCAGAACCGCTGAATAATAATTCTCAAGAATGAATTAGACAGTTTAAAAAATGGCTACTAAAAACCACCCAAAAGACTTTAAGAAACCCTATAACCGATAGCCAAAACTCCCAACCGATTTCTGAGGAGCTAAAAGATGAGAATGGCGATAAATAATTGTGTTGAAATTAAATTCTTCACAACAATAAAATCCAGTGCGAAATCAACAGATAAAGCCTGTTTTTACAAAAATCATACCTTCTGAATTTCGTGATGAAGAAGTTGAGTTATCGGAGTAGGAATCACACCAAAACAAGAGAAATTGGTGGCAAAAGCTAACCCCGCCGACTATGTCCTCCTGTTGCTCTACGAACAAGAAAAACCGGCCTGGAATTTGGATATGCTCTTACGAATTAATTGTCTTTTAATTGGGCTTCAGATTGCTTAAATACCTAAAAATTATACGTAAAGTGGAAATTACACCATATGCCTTATTTTTATAAAATATTCAAATTATATTATTAAATACTTTTTAAATAAAAAATACGTCTTAAAAAAGCAAAATTGCATCTCTCATCAATTAATTGATTCTCTGGCTATAATCATTTCACCAAACACGCCTCAACACTCCAAGTTATGTTGCCAAAAAAATCCCAAATTTTAGTCTTACTGATTACATCCAAATCTAGGTTTTATTTAGCACATTGTGCCATTATATCGATATCCATGACGCGATTTTGCATTTACCCATTTTGGCTATGGTTCTTGGTTATGGTTATAGAGGATGGGATATTTGGCTGTGAAATGTTTCCAAGAAATGCAAAGTTAGGGAATCAAGGGGGATTGCACCACATTTTCCACCATCAAGAAAGGCAGTTCTGCTGCTTCTATCCCTATTTGGAATGATTTGGTTCACAATCATATTTGTGCTA